ACGGTATTTTGGAGCGGCATTTTGGAACGGTATTTTTGTATAGCGACCGTTCCTGGAGCGCGACACGGTTATGAGCGGTATTCCGGAGCCTACGATATTCCAGGCCATACTGTAATGGTGGGGAGACTCGAATCTCAGGGTACGATTCTTCATCTCGGGGTACCGCTCAGTCGTGTTTTAACTGTCGAGCTGAGAGGTGGTCGGAGCGTCCTCACAGTTTTAAACGTTAGATATTTTCAGGGATTTTTCTGTAGGTTTTCTGCGTCTTATTTAATTTTTCATTTTTGTTTTTCATCAGATTTTCCTCTTTTTATAAAGAAGATTGTGTTTTTAGTTAATATTTTCTCAGAGTTAAGCTTAGACTAGAAAATAAAGTTACATCGGTTCTGTGCAATATATTTTTAAATAATTATACAAAAATCATAAATAATAATAATTTTGCAGAAAATAGTAGGAAAGTAAGAAAATTTAATGCCACATAAAAACAAATATTTTTTTCTATCCACGTAGAACGATGAACGTCTTCTTAAAACGGCTACACTGCTATAGTCCGTCTTTGTCATCGTAGTTTATACCCCAAACCCCCACCATCACAGTACGGCCTGGAATATCGTAGGCTCCGGGTATTCCCATCACTAATAAACACCAGTATACAGGGTGATTATCAACCTATACGCATAAATTTGGGTATTCCTCGAGATAAATAATGGGTAATAGGTGAAAAAAATTATAGTAAAAGATTTTTAGTTTCATAGATATCCAACGACATCTAGATAAGGTATTTCCCGGAAGATGGACAGCTCGGTCGCCATTTCGATCGCCCGACCTCAATCTCAGTCTCTCGAAGTTAATACTGAGCAACGATTTCGAAATCAGATACAAACAGCTGCCCACAATCCACTAATACCCTGGTTTAAGCCGCGCTATCATATCATCTTCAAAGCGTGCAGTCTTTGCTTCCAGAAATCATCTTACACGATCTCATCTGTTTAGAACTGGCACCACCATACTTATTTCATCTTCTGCAAAAAAATATTTACGTACATTTGAGTGTATCGTTTGCTCACGTGCTTCTGATTACAAGAGTTGCCTACACAAATAATCCATGGCGAAATTTAGTAACGAAATGAAGAATGACATGTGCGAATCACACAATGTTGACGAAAATGTATCAAAGACTTAGATAGAACTCCAGCGAAAAAACGTCAGGCAGCCTTCCTCTGTTTCGTTGATCTAATCAAAACGTTCGAAAATGTAAGGATAAAAGAATTAGAACAGAGCAAAAACATTACAAAGTATGTAATATAAACCATGGTTAGACTATGAATGATTATAAAATCAAGATGAGTGCTATGCAGATAAATGCCGTCCTCTTAGCTAATACTGAGGATGGCGTACAGTGATTAACACAGGCATTTAATATTGCAGCTGAGGAAGTGATTAGCATTCATTACTTCGCATGATTGCGAAATCAAGTACAAATTACTGCCGAGACAATCCGCCAACATCCTGGTTTAGGCCGCGCTAGTGGGACATCGTGGATTCAGCGAGCCCAATTGTGTATAGAAAATATTGGAAACAACTTGGAACACTTACTTTGATGTCATTTTAAAATCTTAAATGTATTCTTGATTTGAAAGTAAATTTCATGGATATCTAAGAAACTAAAAAACTTTTGCTACAATTTTTTTCACCTATTACTCATTATTTGTCATGAGGAATAAATCCCCAAGTTTATGGGTATAGGTGAGCATCACCCTGTATGTTTATGCTTTTTACTAAACTTTACCAAAACATCGAAATCTAACAGTTTTTTTTTTTCGTATTTTTACATCTGTATTATTGCGAAAGGTCGTCTTTATGGGGTAATTACAAGTGGTCGTTACACTATCAATTTTAATTTGATATCACCCACTAATTGAAAATCCCCGTTTGGTTTTTTTTACTAGTTCTTTTTATATAAACTAAATGTTCCCTCGAATCAAAGTTTTTAAAATAAAATGGCACTAGTGGTTAGAAAACGAACAATACAATCTCTCCTAAAAACTAGAACAACGATACCACTACTAACGGGTGTTCCAATAGGAATGGGTCGATGTTGAAATGGAATTAAACAAGCTGTTGCTGTGAACGACAACCCCACAAGAAAAAACCTAAAGCGGTTAAATAGCACAATCTTAACACCCACAAATTGTTCGTACCATATGTCGTCCACGTCGATCAAATTGGGCTAAAAAAATTGGTTATCATTTATCTGCAGCGCTCGCCTTTGACGGTGATGGCCTCGCCAACGTCGTTTCCGAAGAACTACGGACCAATGAAAACCTTTTTGTGGTACACTATTTTGTGCCACCTGGTGAACCTCGTGTGGGTTGGCGTCGTCTTGTATATGACAGTATTACTTGTTAACATAGTCATTTATTCAAAAATGCGCCCTATTCGAACCAATTGTACACGTACCATGTGTACAGGGTGGTTCAAATTCGATGTCCGAATAGACTAACTCGGAAACTATAAGAGTTAGAAAAAAAGTAGCTTACATGTCATGATCTCGTTTTTCGAGAAACTGCTAATGCCGAAAACCTCATAGCGCTATCGTCTTTTGTTTTCCTATATTTTTGTAATCAGAAAAAAATACCGAATTTATTAATCGAATAATCAGTGGTTGGTTCCATTAAAAAAAACGAAAATTGTGATAATATCTCAAAATCTAAAACCGACAAACCTTTTTTGACTACGTCATCAAATTCTCTGTAAAAAAGTGTCCATGTAATGTCTTATTTATAATACTCCACCTATAATAATAACCAAGATAATTACATTTGCGGGTTTTACGATATTTTCAATTTTGGCCTCTAGCGGAAAAATAAAAGACGATAGCGCTATGAGGTTTTCGGCATTAACAGTTTCTCGAAAAACGAGATCATGACATGTCAGCTACTTTTCTTCTAACTTTTATAGTTTTCGAGTTAGCCTATTCGGACATCGAATTTGAATCATATCTCCGAAACTAAAAGAGATAGAAAAAAGTATAGGTACCGTCTTTTAGTTTCGCCTTATCGGCAAAAACTGAAAATTTTGCGAAAACGACAATCGCGAATATCTCACTTATTATTAAAGATGGAATATTATAAATAAAACATTATATGGGCAACTTTTGTACGAAGAATTCAGTGGCGTAGGTAGAATTTTTTTCCCATCTTTTATTTTCGAGCTTTTAGAAGTAACTAATAAGACCTAAAATAATTTGTTATTTCTTTCTGATAACAAATGTGTAGAGTTTGTTGAGTATATTTCTTATAGTTATTGAATAATTAACAAAAATTCCTTTTGTTCTATGTATCTAAAACTAATGTATGTGATCGCGCGACAAGAAGCCGGGGCAAATATTTTAAGGTGCTGGTGGATTTCAATAATAAAAGAAGAAAAGAAATAAAATAAAAGAAAAGATATTTAAAATTGATCTTACTTTTAATTCTTCCCCTTGTACTCACAATATTTAAATTAGTTGTTAGTTTAATTAATTCTTATCTATGACGCGCAACACCGATTGACCGTGGATGGGGCTGCATGAGACGGTTTCTTTGGTATAAGAAACGGCATGAACAGCATGCATCACGTCAGCAACAACGTCAGTTTACTTTGACCAACTGTATCTTTGTTGTCGTACGGGAAGCAACGATTCGAGCTTTCAAGTCCGATTCGAGCCTTGAAGAGAGCAACATCGCCTGAAGAGAAGTTGAAGAATTCGTCCGACCTGCTGCGTGAGCGAAGGAAGGGGGAATTTTCTACCATTTTCTACCTGGGTGACCTCGTCAAGGCGTAAGGAGCAGATAAGTTTCTTTCGAAACTAAGAGCGCCCTTTTTAGGGTTGGGTTGGGTTTTCCAAACCGTTTTGTGGTGGCAGAAATGCCTCTTAAAATGGAGAAGAAAACTTTATCCGCATCGTGTGGAGACTTTCGCTTGTTAGCAAGCGTGGTCGACACACACATCATCGATAAGAACGGGACATTGAGACCCGTTCCACCAAGCCGTCCGCCTTCCCCGTTGAAAGCGGCGACTAAATCTGCGCGTAAGGTCAGACCCGCCATCCCCGTGAAGGCGGCAACCAACGCCACCCCCGTTCTTGGCAATACTGCCTCCCCTGTGGCGGCGGCAGCCAAATCATCAGGCCGCACCGCCTCCCTCGTGAAGGCGGCGACCAAGAAACCAGTCATTGGCAGAACTGCCTCCCCAGCGGAGGCGGCAGCCAAGGCTGGTATACCANTTTGATTGGATGTACTTTGGATGTGCTGATTTGAATGCGTATAGGTTGGTTGATATGTGTTATACTTTTGTAAAATATTGATCATATCAATTTTCGCCATTGGTTTCAATGAGCTTGGAATTTTTTTAAAGTCTTCTAACATAGACAATAAAAATAATTTATCCGAATCATTTTCACGTTCTTCTCTGTTATGAATACTCGATTTTAATACATTAACCATCTCGGTACCAATGGGATCATCAATACTTCTCTTTCGTTTTTTTTGATGTGCGCGAATATTTGACGCATTTTCTTTATCTGAATTGGTTTCCGCGTTTTCATTATTCATATTGGATGAAGTTGGAGCATTTGCTGCTACCACATTAAGAAAGTTTAATTGCTCAAAATATATGTACTGGGTTTTCTTAGGAGCAGCGGAACCACTTCTTACATTTTTTATACGTCGTAATTCCCGAAAGTAGCTGTCCCTAAGATTTTTCCATTTTTTCTGGATTTGTATACCTGAAATAAACATATAGTTACAACAAATATTTGTAAAATTTGTAATATACAGGATATTACAAAAGTAACTCCTATTCGGTTGAATATTAAGTACTACAAAATATATTTTAAATAAAAAGCTGTTTACTGAAAATAAATGTAATTATTATTAATAAATATTAATGTTACTTTTTGCAGGTATTTGGCCACTGGTTGTAGTTTCGGAGATTTTTGTCATAACTTTAGGCTTGGAATGACTACTGTAAGGACAATAGTTAAACAAGTATGCACTGCTTTATGGTCTGAATTGAAGAGCGAATACTTACGAGAACCTACAAAAGAAGTTTGGGAAGATATAGCGAGGATATTCCAGCAGCGAGCAAACTTTCCAAATTGCATAGGTGCTGTAGATGGGAAGCACATCAGAATTATTCAACCACCACGAAGTGGATCCCTTTATTTCAATTACAAAAAATATTTTTCAATTGTTTTACTTGCCATTGCTGATGCTGATTACAAATTTATATATATCGATGTTGGAGCTTATGGCAAATGTAGCGACTCAACAATATTTAAAGATTCAACGCTGTATCAAAAGTTAATAAACAAAACATTGCAAATACCAGAAAAGCAACCAATTACGTCAATTGATTCCACCCTAATGCCGTATGTGTTTGTCGGCGATGAAGCCTTCCCTCTTACCGAAAATATTATGCGGCCTTATCCCGGTACGAATTTAAGCTCGGAAAAAAAAAACGTTTAACTATAGGTTAAGTAGAGCTAGGAGGTATGTTGAATGTTCATTTGGAATTTTGGCCAATAAGTGGCGAATTTTTCACCGCCCACTTGATGTTGATGTTGACTTTGCTATAGATATAGTAAAAACAGGCTGCGTTTTACATAATTTTGTTCGTTTAAAAGATGGCATTAAATATGAAGAGACGTTCAACTATTTTCCAACGGTATTGGAAGAACCGCAAAATAGAGGCAGTGGGTTATGAACAATATAACGACATATGAAATTTATCCGCGCGCGACAAATCGCGACAAATCGCGCGCGACCTGTCGCGCAAGTGGGTTATGGGCCTTAGGGTTGGGTTGGGTTTTCCAAACCGTTTTGAGGTGGCAGAATTGCCTCTTAAAATGGAGAAGAAAACTTTATCCGCATCGTGTGGAGACTTTCGCTTGTTAGCAAGCGTGGTCGATACACACATCATCGATAAGAACGGGACATTGAGACCCGTTCCACCAAGCCGTCCGTCTTCCTCGTTGAAAGCGGCGACTAAATCTGCGCGTAAGGTCAGACCCGCCATCCCCGTGAAGGCGGCAACCAACGCCACCCCCGTTCTTGGCAAGACTGCCTCCCCTGTGGCGGCGGCAGCCAAATCATCAGGCCGCACCGCCTCCCTCGTGAAGGCGGCGACCAAGAAACCAGTCATTGGCAGAACTGCCTCCCCAGCGGAGGCGGCAGCCAAGGCAGGTATACCAGGCCGTACTGCTTCCTTAGAGGATGCGACGACCAGCGCGGCAGGCCGCACCGCCTCCCCTGAGCAGGTGGCGACCAAACGCACACGTAAGGTTAGTACCGCCATCCCCGAGAAGGCGACAACCGAAACAACCCCCGTCCTTGGCAGCACTGCCTCCCCAGTGGAGGCGAAAGCCATAGCACCATCAGGCCGTACTGCTTCCCTCGCGGATGCGACGACCAGCGCGGCAGGGCGCACCGCCTCCCTCGAGGAGGCGGCGACCACCTCCACTCCGAGGTCATTCGCCGAGGCGTTGGCTTCCATCCCGGCGGGTAAAATGGATGTCGACGTGGCAGTCGGTCCATCCAACGGGAAAAGAAAGGCCAGTAGCGACCTGGAGGACGAGTACTCGGAGGCCGTGCGTCCTCGATTGGAACACGTTTCCAAGCGGGTCCCCCCGGTAATCCTTCATGCGAAGGAAAACTGGGATTCCATTTCGGCGGAGATGGCGAGACTTCGGATCGCCTTTTCGAAAGCCAGAGCGGTTCCGCAAGGAATCAAGATTGAGCTCCCCACCGCGGAAGCCTATCGCGCCCTGGTGAAGATGTTGATGGCTGGTAAACACCAGTACCACACATTCTCTCTACCGGAGGAAAAGCCGTTAAAGGTGGTTTTTCGAGGCGTCCCTACCAGTATCGGGGAGGACAGCATTGCTGCCGACCTGAGAAAACAGGGATTCTGGCCCGATACGGTAAAACGTATGCGCCAGGGCTCTGAAAGGAGGCCGATCCCGTTAGTCCTGTGCGTCTTGAAAAAGACCGCGGACGCCAAACGGATCTTTGACCTCAAGACGGTCATGGCTTTAACCATAACTGTCGAGAGCGCCAAGAAGAAGACGGAAGTCGGCCAGTGTCATCGCTGTCAGCGTTACGGCCACTCCCAACGAATGTGCAACGGTGCACCTCGTTGCGTGAAGTGCGCTGGTGACCATCCGACGGCTTCCTGTGCCAAAGCAAGGGATGTGCCCGCTAAGTGCGTCCTTTGCGGTGGTCCTCATACCGCCAACTACAAAGGGTGCCCAAAACACCCGAAGGCGGCGGAAACGAGGGCGCCCTCGGCAGCCCCAAAGGTCAAAGCGACCGTTCCCCTGAAAGCACCTATTCAGGCGCAAAAAGGGGACAAAAAGGCTCCAGTAGTCGCGGCGAAACCCGTGAAAGCGGTTAGTAGTCAGGCGAAAAAGCCAAAAGGCAACGCTAACGTTGCCCCCAAAGCGAACGCTTCAGCTACCAAGGTAGTTCGGAAAGAGGTCGCGGCGCCCAAAGCTAAGCTCAACGAGCCGAAGCAAAAGGCGACCGACGACCCCCCGAAGCTGTCGAGGTCGCAGAGGAGGCTTCGTAAAAGCGGGTCGATCGCGGTGGCTGAAATACCATTCCCGGTCAATGTTGCGGCACAGGCGGCGGTTGAACCCCCAACCGACCCCCTCGTCAACATACTGGCGATGATGAGCGAGGTCATCCAAATCGACAAATCCGATAGGGACGCACGAGTTAAGTTGTGCGTCCAANAATCCGTAATCAGGAACCAAAACTAATTATTCCCGATTTTCCCCCTTCGAATGATAAATCCGAAATCTTCGGAATGGCAATCGACCCAACAAAATTTTACTAAATCTCAAAATATCGTCTTAAGCCAAAAATTCATACGAGGTGGTTCTCACTGGGCGTACGTTTTTAAAAAGAGCCCGTTTCCCAAAACTCATCTCAAAATATACCAAAAAAAAAACTTTAACGTGACGCTTAAATCCCAAGAAAACATTTTATCGTTAACGAATCAAATCTCTCCCAAACAAAAAAAAATTAATTATAAATTTAATAAAAAAAAATTGAGTAAGAAAAAATAAACTACAAATGAATTAAAAAAAAAGGTGTAATTATGAAATTCGAAATAAATTACCAGCGACCTCTAGGAAGGATTAGGATAAGTAAAGGAAGTAGGAAACTCGAAATCCGTTGCTGAAACAAACAAATTTTTTTTTTTTTTTTTTTTTTAAACCGAGTTTAACAGAGAAAGAAAAAAAAATACATTAACAGATAGTAAAGAATAAAAAAAACGTAACAGTACCCTAATAATCATCCTGGATATGTTGGTCGAGTAATAGGGGAAGTTAATAGGGGAAGTGTTATACGTGCTGCAATGTATTCCTAAAGTAGTACAAATTCGCCGAGTTACTAAATGTTATAATGAATTACCAGTGACGGATAGTTCAAACGAAACCTATTTTATGGCGCCGTTGACGCACATTCTATCTAAGATGGACGAAGAAGTGGATTGTAACGTGGCGACTCTACCAATGTTTCAATTGGAAGACAAATGGGTATCTATGGGTCCGCATCCAATCTTACAAAATCCACCGGAGAAGCTAGAAGTAAAAGAAGAAGTGGTGTTTAAATTCACGCCCTTATATACGTGGGGATCGCTGCTCGACTCATCCTTCCCTTCCTTTTCTTTTGTCTAATTGTAATAGTTGTAATTGTTTCATTGGTTAAACCACGCGTTGACCAATAAGATTATTCTTAGAGTTAAGAGCGTTCAGGGGGAAAACGTTTTCCTTTTGTTTTCCTTCCCTCTCTTTTTTTAATTGCTGATGTTGCAATTTCTAATTGGTTGAGCCATGTGTTGGCCAATAAGGACTTTCCTAGAGGAAAGAGCGTCCAGGGGGTAAAGGTTTAAATATTGAGGAGGAGCGCCTTTTGAGGCAGTTGAGTGAAGTTCAGTTTGGTTTGATTTAAAATTAATTCCTTCGGCGAAGCACCCTGTTCGGTTTCGGTTAAGAGTCTTAGTGTAAAGTGCGAGTAAGACTCCGGTAATTCTTAAGTTTGATGTAAGTTATTTAATTATTAATTAACTTTTATTCAATCGGATTAAAATTAAAGTGTTATACTTTTTGATGAGTCCCTCCTCTCAATATGATCGCCTTAACCCTTGGTAAGTCGTAAATGTTTTATTTTACATATTAAGTTTGTAAAGAATATTATAATATAAAATTTTGTAAAGATTGTAACTAATTGCTTTAGCTTTTTCTGATTTGGTATAAACCTACGTAATATTCGATATTATTTTTGAATTATTCTTTTTATTAAATTGATCATTTTGTAATTATTATTGTTGAACTTAGATATTTTTTAATGTTTTTAATTAAAATTGCTTATACAGATTTTCAAGTAAAGTCAGGTAAATTACTAGATTAAAATTTCTTTTGTTGTTAATCAATATAAAGTTTTCGAGTTATTTTTGTAGCTAAACTTTGTTTGTTTCAATTTATTTTAACTTTCATTCTGTTTATTAATTTTAGTTTATATATTTTTTTTTTGCTGTTGTTTTCGTTTGATTTTAATTCATTAAATTTAGTATTTAAATTTGACTTGATTTCTTTTATTAAATTTCATTTAACTTTGCTCCCTAAATCCAAGCCGGCGTGACAAGGTTCTGCTTGTCGCATACGTCTTTAGCACGCCCACACAACAAAGTAAGAGCCGCTCCTTACAGCTACTACGATTGTGGTACGAACACTATCGGGGTGCGTCCGCTTGGTCGCCGCCTACAATCCGCCGAATCGGCGGTTGTTGGAAGACGATCTAACGGGTGTCTTGGATACGGACAAAGGCGTGGTTATCGCCGGCGACCTAAACGCCAAGCACCCATCGTGGAACAGTCGGATCGCAAACGCGAACGGTAAAATACTGCGGAGTTTTACCGACGAGACGGGCATTGTCACCGATGCCCCCGCCGACCACACGTATTACCCGTCGAACGAAGGGCAACGATCTGACGTTTTGGACTTGGTTGTAATGAAAGATGTCCGACTAGTTCATAGAGTTACCACGCTCAACGAACTTAGTTCCGATCATCTCCCTGTGCTGCTGCAACTAGGAGACGTCCCGGACGTTCGCGTCCCGGTTGAACGTTCCACTGTATCGTGGCCTGCTTTTAGCGACCACTTGCACCACAATATGGGACAAATACGACCGATCCACAACGCTCAGGAACTGGATGAGGCTGTTGAACGACTCACGGTCGCAATCGAGGATTCTCTTCGATACGCGACCAACACGATTCCCGTAAAGGACCATCGATGGGTGCTTCCGGCGCACATCAGGGAACTTATGCGGGAGCGTGATCGCGTCAGGCGGACTTATCAGCGCAATTGGGATCCCGATCTCAAGCGTCGCTATAACCGTCTGCGCGGTGATGTGAGAAGGGAGCTCGCGGAGTTCCGATACGCGTCTTTCGACGCCAA